GAGGCAGTGACTGCGGGCTCTGGGCTGGCAGGCTTGGAGCTGGCACAGGCACTGTGGCCAGAGTCAACCCCTTTAAGGGCTCCAGAGACGGGGGGAGGGAGAGAAGTGTTCTTGGTTGAGGCTGGTGTGGCCACCAGGGCACCCTGGGAAGGCTGGAGGGCCCCTATTTTGATATAAGTGTTTACACCGCGCTTATTTAAAAATAGCTATATTTAATTTGGTGTTATTCCTCATGGAATGAGGTTTACCAATTTTGAAATAAGCCCTCCGCTATTTCGAATTAATTTCAAAATAGCGGTTTGGCTGTGTAGATGCTAGTAAAGTTATTTTGAAATAACAGCTATTATTTTGAAATAACTTCGCTGTGTAGACATACCCTAGATCTACATTTTTAACTAGAATATCAAGGAATGGAAGCACTTAAAGAAAAATAACCTCCACTGCTCAGATTCTGGTTCTCCAGAAACAGAAGGTATTTCACAATGTTCTGACAAAGTGTATTGGGACTAAGCAATGGACAATTAAGAATGAAAGAACATAAGAATTTATGGCCATACTGGGTCAGACCAATGGTCCGTCTAGCCCAGTATCCTGTCTGATGACAGTAGCCAATGCCAGATGCTCCGGAGGGAGGGAACACAACAGGTAATCCTCACATGATCTCTTCCCTGTCACCCATATTCAGACAGACAATTTCATCACAGGGAGTTGTCAGCCATACCTCCTGGCTCCAGAACAGTCAATTCTAAAAGTGGCCTCTCAGAATCTCCTACCTTCTCCAGATCAGCTCCCCGTTCTTCCAGAATCGCACTGAGAAGTTCTCCAGCTGCCCGAGAGATTTTCCCCCTGGGATCTGTTAACCCATCAAGCGCTGTCAGAACCAGGTTTGTTAGCTGTAGTGGGGTAAAATATTCTGCAAAGGCCTAAAACAAAGAGGAGAAAAAGCATGTCCTGCTGTCACCAGAGCTGGAGTGACCAACTAACAGACAAAATTCAGTTCTGAAAAGGAGAAGAGGGGAGTACGCTAAGCTTGGGACCTAGGAAATCACATGAACTGTGGGGATAATTGAACGTTTATCCAACATTCTTCAAGGATCATTTTCATATTTTAGATGCTTTTAAATTTGTAATTGAAAATCTCTTAGTATATAGATGTTTCAGAAATAATATTAAGAAGCTGCCTTAATTTAAAGCAACAAATCCCAGCAGGGGATTTCAGCACACGAAGAAGAATGGGGGTACGAGGAACCTGAACTACAGCTTCAATGAGAAGGGCCCTACCAAATTCATGGCCATGAAAAAATGCATCATGGACAGTGAAATTTGGTCTCACTCTCCTGCCCTATAAAACCTGGTCTTTTGTGCGCTTTTATTCTGTACTGTACAGAAGACAGTATGTCTTTAATGGAGGAGACATATGTTTCCCAAATTGAGGGTCCTGATGGGAGTGCAAGGACATTGCAAGGTCATTTTAGGAGGGGAGGTTGCAGTATTGCCACCTTTGCTTCTGCGCTTCCTTCAAAGCTGGGTAGCTGGAGAGTGGAGGCTGTTGGCCAGGTCCCCAGCTCAGAAAGCAATTCCTTGCCAGCAGAAGCACAGAAATTAGGGTGGAAATACCAGACCATGCCAACCTTACTTCTGAGGCACCTTCCAGCTGCCTAGCTCTTCGGACCTGTGTAGCCCTCCGAGCTGGACAGCTGGAGAGTGGGGGTTGCTGACTGACAGCCCAGTTCTGCAGGCAGCAGCACAGAAGTCAGGGTGGAAATATCGTACCAGGACATCCTTACTTCTGTGCTGCTGATGGTGGTGGCAGTTCTACCATTAGCAGCTGCCGCTTTCCAGCTGCCAAGTTCTGAAGGCCGTACAGCTGCCTGCAGCAGCACAGATGTAAGGGTCACAGCATTGCAATGCCCCTACAATCACTTTGTGACCCTCCCCAGCTCTGTTTTGACCCCTACAATTACATCATTGTGAAATTTGAGATTTAAATAGGTGAAATCATGACATTTACAATTTTTTAAATCCTATGACTGGGAAATTGACTATAATGAACCATGAATTTGCTAGGGCCCTACCAATGAAGTATTTCTAAATTATATTTTTTGGTTTTCAGCCAAAAAGTTTTTGGGTTTGGGGTACTTGGTAATTTTGTTTTCTGATGAAAATTCAGTTTTCTGAGCAAACCAGATATTTGTGTCTCAAAAAATTGTTTGGTGAAAACCACAGTTTTTCAGTTGATTAACATTATCAATGGACAAATTTTGAAAAGCCATACTCATACAATAATTGTTGCTGAGCAGCTCTAAAATCAGGTTAATGATTCATTACCCGTAACTCAACCCCTCCCCTTCCCCCCACACACTTTGGCCAATTTTTTGTTTTCAAAAGAAAAGGTTTCCTTGGCCTTTATAGTAAATGCAAATTTAGGACAAATCAAATCTCCCTAGCCAAAGTTGGAAGGAAATTCAAATAGGGTTCATTTTGATATTTGGCTGCATGCTTCACCAAGAATTTGTGATCAGTGTTTTTATAATACAGGGCTACTCAGTTTTGGAAGCCAGAATGATCCTCACAGCACATGCTGAGGGCTGCAACTTAAGTGTGGTTGCATATACATGCAAATAGATATGCAAATAGCTTCTCTCACACTGACGGCATGAATACAAAGATTAAGACAAGACTACGCAACACACAAGCCCCATTTAAGTCAGTTCTGCTGATATTAATAAAATGCAATATTTACCCTATTTCCACTCATATGACAACACTTTCAATGAGCAATGACAGTTCAGGAATTTAACTATTAAAACACATATCAACAGAAGACCATTAGACTGACTACTTTTTTGTTGAGCCCCGCGTAAACCCAAACTGCATCGCAGGCTGCAAACATATGGGCTGCGGGCCACATGCGGCCAGCGGGCCGTGCTTTGAGTAGCCCTGTTATAATACATAGGAAAACACCATTCATTGGTCAGTGCCTTGAATGTAATTACCTTAGCAATTTGTGAGGTGTTGTTGTAGAACACAGAGGGACTGTATGTTCCCAGATTTTTTAGCGTGTCTACCTTCGTCAGTCCATGTCCCTTCTTAAGCTCTGGAAGAGATACACACCTTTGTGTAATTTGTCATTTCTCAATTAGGTGACATTTCTTTCTGTTCTTGTTAATATGTCTGAATGGGTCATGGTGCTAGTTGGTTCAAAACTCAGTAGAATAGCTAGTGATGCATGTAACACAAGCCCTGCCTTTATATATCACGTGTGAATACTATTATACTTATATAAGCCTGTGAATCAATATTTAATCTGAAAAGTGTGCACCACTCTGAGCTAGTCCTTCTTTTAACACTATATTTCCCTTCTGAAACTGAGCTTCCCACCCTTTGGGAAAATTAAACTATCTTGGTCTGCCCCTCAGCACTATCTCCCCCAAATGAGCAGTTACCCAGAGTAAATCAAGAGCTTCAAAATATACTTCCTCCCCTTAGATGCATTCAGTAGTGAAATAATTAACAATGTTGACCCATGAAATATTATTATTGGCACTTGAGTTAGCACCCATTGAAATAAATAGGAATGCATAGGACAAGTCACATCCAAGAGATGTTGTTTCAGTCTCTTTGCAAGGTCAGGCATACTCCTCTACACTGGTTATAGTTGGGTAACATTGTGAAGGTTTTCATTTCAAATCACAATGACCAGGGATTCCCTTAAAAGATGAAAGCGGAGATTCCAGAGATTCCTAGGGTCAGGTACCCCTCAGTTTGAGGACTACTACCTTAATACTAGATACTAGTTATAAATCAACTGCATCATTTCCGTGTGTAATTTGCTTCTCCCTTCCCTTATCTCTTCACCCCCCCTCAGGAAAACATTAATTTATTTCCATGGCCTTCCCAGGCACAACAGTTCTGCACCTGCACTGCTAAGGGAAATATGTATTTTCCTTGTCTGTACTTCATGTAGGGCACTGTGGGCTCAACTGGAAACAGATTCTAAATACATAAATAAAAACAGCAGCAGCTGTAACCATTTTTTCTAATTTCTTGATTATGCGGTGCCATGTTATAAAACAATAGAAACGATTACACTAGGAATTTGAAACTAATCTGCTGGTAATAAGAAACGCTTGTAAGGGTTTGCTCCAAGGAGGAACTTTTCAGTTTCCAATGATGTAGAAAAATGGTTTTCACTTACGCCTTTTAACCAGCTGGATACAATACAAGTTGTATACTGCCCGGGCTGCCAAGAAACAGATGTTGTCCACTGGGTCATGGCATCGAAGGGCAAGCAGCCTAACCAGGCGACCTAGTCTGCTGAATTCAATTGATGTCTAATTAAAAAGAAAACAAGTCAATTAGCAGTGGGGTATGTGATCATCAGTCAATATGGGGAGACACCTGGGCTTTGTGCCTATGAACATTTTAAATATTTCCCTCCTAACGCAATATGTTGCTTCAGCTTCATTCTCAAATTAGCATCTTGTAGTCAAAAAGTAAAATAACCTGAAAATCTAAATATTTGGAGTAGGAGCTCTGCAGAATCTTAACTGTCTGTGATTTATAATGGAGATCCTTGTGTACCAGAGGCACTACCTATGACGACAATGGACCAGATCCACAGGTGCACTGGAGGACTACTTTGCATATCTTTGGGGAACAGCAAAGGGTGTTTTTCCTCCTTTGGTACTCCAGCATGACTTTGAACAGCCTCAGGATTACTCTAAGTGGGTCTCTTATGCCAGTAGGGATTGATGGAGTATAGAATGCACCCCCTATGTCACTTTTGTTGGGGCATAAAGCAGCATGGTGGCAGAGTGGCTTAAAGCCAGTTCTAAAAGCCTGAAATTGCTCCTGAGTTCTCTCATGCCTGAGAAATCTTCAGCTGTCTACTTAGATCAGTTTTAAATACCCTTTGCACAATTGGTGTAGTACAAGGGAATTAACAAGGCCAGGGCTGGACCAATAAACTTTAGAAACTGTTCATACCATTGACTACAAGTGAAAATGCAATATATTCTATACGGATGCCTCAATGATTGTGGCTCTCTGGTAGCTGCAAAGAAACAGTGTAGTATGCAGAGGGTCACAGTCTCTATCAAGCCTGTTTCTATAGGGAAAGGACATAGAGCCATATGGGGAGGATGGAGAAGGTACATAGAATGGGATTTCTACTCTGGGCATTGAAAGTGAATGAAGATTTGGGTTCTCAGGTTCACAGTTGAATCAAAGCTCAAGAAGGAGGTCTCTTTATATAGGTGAGAGGTTGGTGTGTTTCTCCAAGAATGGTTAAGTGGACTAAAAAATGGGCAAGCTATGGTAGTAGTTGGTTTATGAATGGCAGCTGTCCATCTTGAAAGATGATGATGTAAGTGCTAAAGCAATCATGTTACTATGTGTCATGCAGCAGCATCATGAGAGGCTAAAAAGTCCAATTCTCAAGCAACCAATCCTAAGAATATACCCCCGCACACACACACACAAGAGTGTTGGTGACAAAACACATCCCAGTTTGACACCCCAACAGATTTTAGAACTGTCAGATTGATCATGATCAGATTGGAGTTAGTCTTTATGCTATCATGGAAGTACTGAAAAAGACAGGAGGCTTGAGGGGGCACCCAGATATTCTCCAGCAGCTAGAAGTGACCTTTTCTGTTGACTAGGTCAAAAGCCTTTGTAAGATCTAAGAAATCCATGTAAAGAGGCTTTTGCCTTAGTAAGAAGACCATATCAATAGTTGATCTACCAGCATGGAAGCCTCACTGACTTTCTAGATATCCATAACTCTGGATATAATTGACTTCTAGGTTGGTTGTCACTTCATGTGGACCCTACTAAAAACATGGCAATGTAAATGATGGAAAAGTTCAGATTCCAACTTTGCCGCTCAGTCTATCTTTATTATACACAGAATATGACATGAGGTTTTGAGGTTAGCATTGGAAAAGCAGAGGAGATCTATTTTGGGTGAAGTGTGTGGGGGGTAGCCGGTGGCTAGATGGATGGGTGTTGATACCAGGCAACATTTAAAGTTGTTTACAGAAACTTGTCTCAAACATTGCATATAACTATGATGTTACATTTAATTAAACAATACTTACAGTGTTACCTTTATGTTTTTTGTCTAGCAATTTACAAACATTTAAAACCAGTGGTATACTTCGGAATTCCAATATATTGTGGGGTAGAATTACACAAGACAACAACCTGCTTTGCAGGTGATTAAATTCCATAGTAAAGGTGATGCTACAACTAACACAAATATTATTGGAAGGAAAAACAGCCTAAACACAAGAAAAAATAGTTTTTCTTACCCTGAGAAATTTTAAAAGGCTGGTGCTGATTGCATTGACATCGCTTTGGGGAATGGACCAAAGTGAATAACTTCTCAAGGGATACATTTGCACTGAGATAGTGCTAATAAGGCTTTCAGGGTAATTTGTCAGAAGAGTAAGATCTGCTGGAGCTTGACTCCACTGAAATCACTGGCAAAGCTCCTACTGACTTCAATGGAGGCAGTCTCAGTTCCTACATTTTGTTTGCTTATTCTGTGAGTAGTAGGTTGCTTATTTGGGCAGATGTATGTGCTGAAGAATTCTTCTTTATGGAGTGAGGTCAGTAGAGGTAAAGGGTTACTCACATCAAAATTGGGAAGCTTGGCCACACATCTTAGGATCCGGGCACTGCACCACATTGCCCGTTCCCGCTCATGATCCTTTCTAGAGATGAGCCAGGGCTCTAGGTACTGTAGGCAAAAACAAAGGAGGTCACTGCTCACAAACATAAGTAAAACTGCTAAAAGATTGTGGCCCAGATCCCTCACTGGTGGAAACTGGGGTATTGCTACAGACGTCAGGGAAACTCCTCTGAGTTATACAAGCTAAGGGTGAAGTGGCTCCTTTACCTGACGTTAGGTCTGATACAAAATATAGAATTTTCCTCTATGGGTTTTCAGCAAGAGGATCTCCCTACCTGGGTGGCTTTTACTGTCTGCCTCTGTGGGAGCAAAGGGGGCTGAGAGCTGAGGAGCAGCTTCAACCTAGGACACCAGCAGGAGATGAGGAAACTTTGCTTCTGCCTAGTCCAGGGCTGGGGAACCTAAGGCCCAGGGGCCACATGTAGCCCTGGATTGCCTGGATCCAGCCCCCAAGTCTTGGGACTTCCTCCCCCCCCCCATATTGGGGAGCCCACATTGGCACTCCAGCCACCCTACCACAAGGCTGGAGCACATAAAATCTACTACACTGGGCCTGCCTAGGTTCTGGTGTGTGAGGGGAATGTGGGGAGTGTCTTTCTGCTTCTCAGTTGGGGCCATGTCAATGAGGGCCTTTTTTAATTTTGCTTCTCACCCAAAAAAGGTTCCCCACCTCTGGCCTAGTCCATGCCACTAGCCAAAGCAGAAATTGCCTGCATTTCCTGATACTGGCTTCTGGCCTCCAACTTGGCCAGGGGGCGAGGAAAGGAAATGTGTGGTGCTCTAGTTTGCGGGGGCAATGCCCTCCCTATCCCCATATCTGCCCATGGGTTCAAGGCTTCTGCCCCACAGGGAGGACCAGGACTCAGCCCTGCATCTCCTGGCTTCAGCTTTAGCTGGGGCTCAGGCTCAGTTTCAGTTGCAGGCCACCCCGGACTCCCAAGGGGCCAAGGATTTCTGATTGAAAACTGCTGATTTAGGGAGTGTAAGGGGCATTTCTGCCCACAAGTCAAGATTTGGGGAAAAGCACTTCAGAGAGGCATGAGGAGGGAAGTATATTTCTCAGCTGTTACAAAAGTGCTGACATTTCTCTTACACACATTTGATTGTTCTAATGTCTTGAAGAGATTATAAAACCTCTAACATATAATCTCTAGAAAGAGAAGCGTATGGGAGACCATCCCTGGTAGGGCTAATTAAGGCATAAGCAGAATGGCCAAGATTTGTAAAGGTATTTATATAATTCAATGCCTAACTGATGTAGGAGTCTATGCATCAAAAGGGCTTTAGGCACACAGGAGCCAAAATTTCATTGGGCTCTAAGCATCTAAATCACTTCAGAAAATGAAATTCCTAAATATAGTTACAAATTCAAACCTGCAGGTTTGTGTACAGGGCCCCAACTCTTGGAGTCGTCTCCTGAGGGCAGACGCCCAGCTTTCATGATTGTGAAGAAAAGTTTGAAAACGTGACCTGAGCATCGCGGTGTAGAGGTGCCTGCCTGTGTCTGCTAAAAGCCTGACACTACGGCTCTTAGAGATGTGAACTACTTTGTGCAGACCAATAGGACACACACTCCAAGGGAACCATTTTGCCAAACCATCTTGCCAAAACAGCCCCACTGAAGAACTCTATGTATGGTGAAAAGAGAAGAGTGGGCCCAGACCACCCACCCAAGTGGATATACTCTGATGCCGGGCGAAATACTGAGAGGGCCCTTTGCTGCTATCCCTGTTTCTCTGGGATGAAGAGGTCACCCCTGCTTCCCTCTAGGGTAGTGGAGCCCTGATAATGATCCTGAGGTGCACAGGGGTCCCATATCACTGTTCCTGCCTCTTTGGGAGAAGAAAGGGAGTTCACTGCCACTGCCACTGCCACTGCCACTGCCACTCCCTTTGATGGACGAAGTAGGCTAGAGCATAGGGCTGTAGCCAAGGGATCCCAATGTTGCGGTGTGCCTTTGGCTCCAGATTGTCTTAATTCAGCCCTGAGCTCAGAGGGGACAGGCGAACTATGACTGGACAGTTTTTCTTTTATAACTCCTTTTTCCTCTCTCGCACGTCCCACAGTTGCTTACCTCCAAAATCTTCTGGGCCTCCACAGGACATTCGAATACCAAACCCTCAAGCATTCCTCTCAAGGCATCTATAGTTTCCTTGTACAGAGACTAGCAGAGGAGGCAGTGAAATGGTAAGTGTCATATAACCTGACATTCTATGGGCAGCATGAGGTATAGGATACTTCTTTAGAGAGACAGGATGAGTCCTTTAGCCTCTCTGTGCCTCAGTTGCCTATCTGTAAAATAGGGATAACAGCACTTCTCTACCTTATAGGGCTGATGTGAAGATAAATATATTAAAATTGTGTGGTGTTCAGATACCTGGCAATGGAATCCATATAACATCATTAGGAACAATAATTTTGCTCATTCAGATATATGCACTCACTATTATTTTCTGGAGAGCTGCCTTAAACTCCTGCTAAGAACAAGATGTGAAATGGGCTAGCCATTTTCAGCACAGATTATGATTCAAAGATCAATAACAGTGAAATGGCCACAGACACACTGGCCTGTGAACATTGTTCAAAAATCAAGTCACAAAGTGAGAAAAAGAATCACTCTTTAAAAATCAAATTCTGTCATTGGGATAATATTTTTTCCTGAACTACTTCCCAGGCTAAGAAAACACCACCTATGGTTATGGTACCAGACCCATTCTCTTCTCAGGAGCCAACACCCTAGTTAATTTAAAACTGTGATATTCCATTATTTTCCTTCTGCCCTGTCTGTGGTGAAATAATTTGAGACTAAGCAGAACAGAGGCACCCTTAGTACAGAGTCCCAGGTGTACATACACTGGTGAAGCTTGCACACTTTGTCACGTTACCTATTAGTAACAGAGCTTATTTCTTTTTAATTAGACATCAATTGAATTCTGCAGACGGGGTTGCCTCGTTAGACTGCCCACTTTTTATTGTCATGATCTAGTGAACAGCATCTGGTTCTCGGCACCCAGGCTTATATTCAATTTGTAATCTCTCCTACTAGTCAAAAACGGTAAGTAACACTTAACATTCTTATTCTAGATCTCAGAATGAAGCTCTTATCAGGCCAAGTGGGGCCTGATGAATTAAAAATGCATAGGGCTTTTCTTATGATGAGGTTGGTTCTTTTTAAGGACAGATTACCTCTGAGAGTTGGCGTTGTATATTGTCACATGCCTCTGCTAACATGGTCTCTACTGGTGGCAGAGAAAAGACACTTTTGTAGCATGCCCGAAGTAGATTAGCTTTCTTCTCAGGTTTCAGTGGTGGCTTCAGCTTTCTGATGGAAGAGAGAAATTAGCATTATGACAATGTCTGGAAACCAGAGTAAGAACAAAGGAATCATTCATTAGTTCCCTTCCACCCTATTAGTGGTTAAGCACCACCAACCATAATGAGGTATTTGCTCTGACCATACTATGCAACAGAAAAGTGTGAGTGGGGGTATGTACCAAGATAACAGCTCTAATATCATGCACCAAAACTTATTTTAATAAGTGCCCTACTTAGTGATAAATTTATATCCCAGAGATAGGAAAATTAGCTTTTTCCTCACTTTCTTTAGAGGGAGTTCATAAAGCACACAGTAAGTTAACTATGTCAATAAATATTGCTTATGGGTAGATCTTGGTATAAACCAGGGAACAAACCATGTTTGAATTCTGAAGTCTTTGTTGACAATTCAATATATACATATTTTTGCAAACCACAAGGCTTCCGTTGCTTTAGTCAGAAAATATAGTGGCACCATCTACTGGCCATAATCCTGCTGCACCCTTTTTGCATTTCTAGCACAATGTACATGTTGTACAGCGTGTATAGGCTTGCAAAAGTTAGATTTTATGTTGATAAACATTGATTTCACCATACAAAGAAACCAATGAAAAATATTTCCACTGATAATAATCTAAATGTACAGGGAGCCAACAAAAGAGAAAGGTTGCTTGAGAACTTGTTAGAGTCTAAGGGTAATATTCTTTTTTTATTCTGACATGTGTTGTTGATCATTTGTATTTTAACTTTTAATTTAAATTCATAAAAATAAAAAACTTGATATAAACTTGAATATTATCTGTCAAAATTATGAAGAATAAAAATTGAATTCTGCCAAGCCTAAGTTTGTACCATTGCCTGGACTACCTGGCTTAGATAGGCTTGCTCAAGTGTATGGTAATTATTTCACCCTCTGCTAGCTGTAATACAATCATGACAGTTTCATGGTTTACAGCTGGTAGATAGTAAACAAAATGTAAACTAATGCTTTCAAAGTATTTGCATTAAGCGTTCAGTGTCAGTAATATCTTAGTTTTGGTTGTGCTCATATTTAAAATTCTTCGTATCCTTTTGCCTCTGCCAAACTGACCACCATTTTTTTAACAAAATCATATATGACAAAATTACGTCAACGGCTCTTTGTTGAACGAGTGAAATATGCTGTAAGTATACTTGTAACAAGCTAACAACCAAATTAATGCAACCTATGCAGTATACGGTACAGGTGAGCGGCACCTTTACATTTCAGCAAGTTGAAGCAATTTCTCATAACATTTTGTGACTGACAAATTTGTTTCCTGAAGTTTATTACCCAGGATTCTATGCAACTATAAAAACAGTTTGTTGCAACTTCATAACAAATATTGAGCTGGACTGTCAGACTAAAGATACAGCTGGTGGCCATCAGAGAGCTAGCTGGTTATCTCCATCATTTTCTGCCTGGCCCTGATCCCAGGAGTCAGAGTAACCTGAGGAAGTGTTTGGCATTTGAGGACAGTTAGAGAAGGTATGGCCAGAGTGCATTGTGATCCATGTCCTGATATATCCATTACATTAGGGATTAGTGTAAGGCTTTGTGGAGAGTGCACAGTGACCATGTCTGTCGCTAAACCTTGTGAGTGTGGAATGTGATCCTACCATAGTCTTTAGCTTCCTCCCTGCCCTCTTTGGTGTAATTTGTACACTGAGGGACACTAAGGCCATGTCTACACTGCACAGTTATTTTGGAATAAGGTACACTGGAATAGTTATTCCGAAATGGCTTATTTTGAAATAGCACGTCTACACTGCAGGGAGCCTCAAAATTAGTCCGAGGCAGGCTTCCCTAATGTAGACATGCTAATCTGATTTAGAGCCCCAGGAAGAATAACTAGGAGTGGCCCTGGTAAGAGGCTATTTCGAAATAGCAGCAGTGGAGTGTCCACACACACCTTATTTCAAAATAGCTATTTCAGAATAGGTGTTATTCTTCGTAGAATGAGGTTTACAGAAGTTGAAAAAAGCTGTCTGTTATTTTGAAATTATTTCAAAATAACAGAATTGCTGTGTAGATGCACGCATAGTTATTTCAGAATAACAGCCATTATTCCAAAATAACTTTGCTGTTTGGACACACCCTAAGGTACGTCTACATTGCAACACTATTTTGAAATAACTAGCACTATTCTGAAATAATGTAGTCTGCATCTACACAGCAGGCAGTTATTTCAAAATATTGTCAAAATCCTGTCAAGCCGGAGGACGTCTTACTCCGACTCCTGTAACCCTCATTGTATGAAGAGCAAGAGAGGTCTAAGGAAGAGTGCTCTATTTCTATCTCCTGTAACCCTCATTGTATGAAGAGCAAGAGAAGTCTAAGGAAGAGTGCTCTATTTCTAAATAAGTGCTGTGTAAACACTCCCTGTTTCGAAATAAGGTATTTTGAATTAAGATACACAATTGATGTAGCTCAATTTGCACAGCTTATTTTGAGTTAAGCCCTGCAGTGTAGACGCACCCTAAGGAGTAAAGAGTTTGCTGTGACTATGGCTGACCCATATGCAAGTGGACCCAAAGGAAGGGGAGAAGGCTCTTTACACAACTTCACAGGGGCCATACACAATTTGACTTGTCTTGTATCTGTAATAAAGTCTCAGCAGGGTAGCTATGTTAATCTGTAACCTGACACAACTTCACAGGGGCCATACACAATTTGACTTGTCTTGTATCTGTAATAAAGTCTCAGCAGGGTAGCTGTGTTAATCTGTAACCTGAAAACTATGAGTAGCCCTGTGGCATCTTAGAGACTACAAAAATATGTACAGCCTCTCTCTGACTTATGAACCGGTTACGGACCAAGCACTTGGTCGTAACTCGGTTTGTTTGTAAGTCGGACCCCATAGAATTACACACGACCGCGGTGTTCGTAAGCGAGGATCGCATTCGTAACTCAGGGTCTGCCGTTTATGACAGTGTCGGTCGTAACTGTGAACAGTCATAAGTCGACCGTTTTCAACTCGGGGACCGGGTGTATAGTATCATGAGCTTTCATGGGCAAAACCCATACTACTCACTGAATCTGTAATATATGTAATACTACTTCATGCCTCTGTGGTTCTTGTGCCTTGTACAGGGGAAAGGAGAAAAGAATCTGAAGAGCCAGAATGTGTCTGGCTTGTCTCTGGTACTGTGATGTCTCCCCAACCCATGCAATCAGGCACTGCTTGCCACATACTCCACAGTATCCATTTCAAAAATGCTGCAATAAATTACAGAAACTTTGACCCAAACCACCAGGGAAACCTTTTTTTAGTTGCTCACAGAAAAGCTCTTCACTTTACCAAGTGCTATCCTAGGGGTAATATGGAGCAGAGACTCAAGAGTGAAATCTGATGGCATGCTGGTTGAACTTTCACAATACCTCAGATTTGTGACAACAATCATGGCCTGCTGGCGCACGGGGTTAGACAGCAAGTTCACTGACTCTTCTTCAATCAGCTTCTGTAAATCAAAGAGGTGACAGAATAGAAGCAAGTGAGCACCAGCTTTGACCATCAACACCCTATCCTTATTTTCTCCCAGACACCGGATATTATACAGTTCTGCAGCACCAGTCAGTACTAGTGTAAGCAACACACCTGCTGGGTGTGGTGTACTATTCCATGCAGTGGCATGTAGATCACTTGAGGGTACGTCTACACAGCACCCTAAACTCGAAATAAGATACACACTTTGCATAATGCAAAGTGTGTATCTTATTTCAAATCTATTTCAGAATAGCTTATTTTGAAATTTGGTGCATCTACACAGCACCAAATTTCGAAATAATGTGCTATTTCGATCCATCCCTTAACCTTTATGCAATGAGGTTTACCAGGATGGCAAAATAGCATGCACGTTACTTCAAAAAATATTTCAAAATAATGGGCAGCTTGTGTAGACGCGAGGTAGCTATTTTGGGATACCTCCAGTATCCCAAAATAGCCATGCAATGTAGACATACCCTTACAGAGAGAAAGAATGAGTGTGCTCTATGGCCTTAGCTGGGACCCAGCTGGCATTTAGCACAAGCTGTAGTGGTTCATGCACTAAGCTCCAGAAATCCCAGGTTCAGTTTTGCCTGTCGGCATTACACTAGCTCCAGAGAGAAACAGAGCTGCTATTTAATCTCCGGAGCTCTCCAGATCTTAACTGTAAGAAGAATTTGACTATAGATCAAGTGACTAAAACAATTTCAAGTCCTTATTAAAGAGGAAATCTATCCAGCCCCTGCCATATCTCATTTTCTATGTGCCATAAAAACCTTCTTAAACTGATTCAGTCAGTATCTCCACAATACACAGGTAGACAGTTCTGAGAGATCCTGGGAGAGGCTTCCAAGTTCTGCTAAAGGCGCATGGGTGCCCTGACAGGTTCGGCAGAAAGAGCAGGGTGGCTAAAAGCAGCATTGGTGGTCATTGCACTATATATTTGAGTGCTAGGGGTATGCAGTGTGCATGCATTTAAATGCTGAAAGCTGGTCTCTGGATACTGGGCATGCACTCAAGATACGAGTGACTGTAAATTGCAGGAGGCCAGCAATAACAGTAGTCAGGGTTTATTCTGACAGGCCATGTAAACTGTGATAATTGAGGCTATGTCTACACTGCAGTAGTCCCATGCTGGCTGGCCTGGGCTCAGGGGTGTTTAATTGCAGGGTAGACATTCAGGCTCAGGCTGCAGGCTGGACTCTAGCACTCCCAAATCTTGAGGTGTAGCTCAAGCCCAAACATCTACACCACAATTAAACAATCCCTGAGCCCGAGCCTGCCAGACTCAGTCAGCTAGCACAGGCCAGCCAACTGTAGTGTAAACCTACCCTAAGAGAGGTGCAGAGTCAACATAGCACAGATGGAGAATATATGATAAAACAGAGCTGTCCACGTGCTGAACCTTTTAAAGACCCAAAGACTGCATGTTCCTTCTCCAGATCCTGCTAAATCTAAAATTGCTCAGTGTTGAGAAAACCTCCCCGCAGCCACCAACCAGTGAAACACCAGGCCATGGTGAAAAGATATCACCGAAGTGGCAATGGGGAAAGATATCACTGTAGTTTTATTGGGAAAGTAAGGGTTCTTTCTTCATCTGCTCCCCCCCGCCTCCGCCTCCCCCAGCTGGACTATTCCTCTGGGTCCCTGCTCGCTCACAGTCATTTCAGGCTGCCTCAACTGGGGGTTTACAGCATGCTTGAACCTCCTGGCCATTTCATTACTGGATGGCTTCCCTCCCTACTATTTCCTCTGTCATAGCCTAAGTCTGAGGCACATGGCTGGGGCTCCCAACTAACTGCTGCTCTATGTTACCCCTACCTAAGGGCTTCCTCCACTGATCCCCTGCATTCCCATAAATTCAATGTTGCCTCTGACTGCTTGTCATGAATAAGGCTAGGGATTCGCTAACCTGGATGCACCCATAATGTCACAGCTTCAAAAGAGGGTCAGATTGGCCTGCCTTACAGAGGCTTGGTTGGCCTTTGACTGAAGAGGGAATTCACCTCAACACCAGTGTTCCCGCTAAGCTGCATGGCAGCACAGCTTCACAGGTGATTAATCAGCCTCTCCCAGTCAGAAGCTCAGGACTCCAGGCAGGGAGCTGACTGACTGGGCAGGGTAATTAATCACCTGTAAAGCTGTGCCTGTCATGCAGCTTAGAGGGAACACTGCTCAACACCCGTCCAGAGTCATCCACCCATGTAACCATTTACAACTGAGGCCAACGCCTCAGACTTTGCCATTGTTGCAATATTATCTCACCACGTGGGGCCTCACAAATATCTCCATCCCTGTACTTTTTATTCTTGGAAACCTTTCACCCGAGTGGATGACAATACATCTGGGAAAGAGATGTAGGGATCCAGGTGGCTTTTGAGGGAATGGCACCACCTCCTAGAAGAAGCCTCACTCCTGGCCCCGGTCCTGATGGAACACAAGGATCTGGAGGATCTATGTCTTAACTAACATTTAGAATGACTGATTTCTCTTCTTTGTTTGCCTCAACTTTGTATCTGGAGGATCTATGTCTTAACTAACATTTAGAATAACTGATTACTCTTCTTTGTTTGCTTCAACTTTGCACTAACCTATCACCCAGGGATAAGAAACAGAAAGGCAGATGCCCTCCCCAACAAAGATGAATATCATGAACCTGGCGAAGAGTTCTCTGCCACCATGCTCAGGGTGTCCACATTTATCAACATCTGTCAAAGTCTGACATCCTCCATCCACTCCTTGCTCCCCAACAACCCATTTGCCACCCAGATCCACAAGAATCTGAATAATGAAGTTACCCAACCAGATTCCTAGTTCTGACTACGAAATAGCCACCTCTATCACAAGAATTGTATTATGTTCCGGGGAGACAACTTTGGCTTCAGGTATTAACATTATGCTTCATTTCACTACATGCAGGCCATTTTGGCTAATTCATGAGCTGGAATTTGGTTTTGATGAGCTTCTAATGACCAGGCCTGTCAGCTTACTGCAAGTTCTATGTCTGTACCAAGAACCCACAATCAAGATCTTTAGGAGTCCTCTAGCCCAGGGGTCGGCAAATAGCAGCCCATAGGCCAGATCCAGTCTGCCGGGGTTAGTCTCTGGTGGGCCCACACATTGCTGTATTTACCTGTGCCTCTGCAGGTATGGGGGATCAAAACTCCTGTTGGCTGTAGAACACTGTTCCCAGCCAATGGGAGTTGTGATTGCCCGCACTTGTGGAGGAACAGGTAAATATAGCAACAGCGGCCCACCAGAGGCTAACCCTACTGAACCACCACCATTTTATTGCCCACACCTTGAAAGATCCCAGATCTACGTGGACTAGCCTTGCAACCAGGTTCCAGCAACTGATTCAAAGTGCCGCACCTGTGTATGTGGCTGCATGTCCTCAAAGTCTGCACACAAACTCCATCACTCCCAGTGTTTTACTGTCAGTATTTCTCAGAGTTATCACTCCCAGTGTTTTACTGTCAGTATTTCTCAGAATTCTCTATAATTGCTCATTAACTTTGATCCAATGAACCGAGGCCCTGGGCCAGATTCTGCATTCATTTCTAGGGTGTAAAATGTGAAGCCCGTGGAGATACTCCAAGAATTAGACAGCTGTAACGGAGAGCTGTGTATTTTACTCACCACCATGAAAGCCACAATCATTGTTTTCTGTGAGAATTCATGGGCTTCTTTTGCTTTTTGGGCAATGTCGCCAACAGTTCTGGTGAATGCAGCCACTGACCTCAGAAAGTTCAGCTTCAGACTTAGGTTCTAAGTGAGGAATGGGGAGAGGGACAGATTAATAGCACAGAACTCTATGTCAGGAGATATAAAGCAGTTTAGGTCTTGGCTAGACTAGAACATAACATTGTGATGTAGTTCCAGCTAGTTTGCTTCTATTAATAGAGTAAAATGTTGACACCATCTCCCCTCACAGGCCTTAACTCAACCAGTTTATCACACTCTAAAGCATGCTGACTTTCTCTACGAGAGTTTTAAAAGGTGTTAATTCAGTGGTGGGCAATCTGCAGCCCGAAGTCTGTGGTTGCATACAAAATTTTGTATCTGCATCCACATCTGTATCTGCAAAAATGAGACAGGGATATTTGCATCCACATCCATGGATACCTGCAGATATAAATCGGATAGCTTCCATGTTGCTATATAAAATTTATATTCACATCCATAAAAGTGACCCGCAGATATAAAGTGGCTATCTAAGGATTAGCCACATGCAGCCCATCTGACCCGCAGATATAAAGTGGCTATCTAAGGATTTGCTAGGCTCTACCGAGAGCCACATGCAGCCCATTTGGGGTTCTACGAGTGGCCCACAAGACATTTTGTTTACTGTGGCCCACACACAGGATTGCCAGATTCCATTCATTTCTATCCACATAAATTTTTTCCTACCAGTATTAATAAAGGGACATTTGCATAAAGAAAGGGCCCATGAGCTGAAGTCCATGCTGATTGCACACAACATTAACTGGAAAAGCTGAGCACTCCCTCTTCATCCAATCAAAGTATTGCTATGGTTCAATCCGCACACCCCGCAAATTCTAGGTATGTTAATGCAGTTAGAAAAAATACCCTATCCCTGGAGACCATCTTGATTATGACAATTTTGCAACCCACTGAGTTGAAGGAGGCAGCCCACTCACTAGCCAAGGTTGCCCATCACTCTATTAATTAGACCAAGATAGCTAATGCTATATAACATTATGCTTTTACAGCCTAGTCTAGATAAGGCCTTAGAGAGCTCATATCAAAGCACATTAGTCCCTTACTCACTTTCCTGTTCCACATTCTGAGGCTAAATCTACACTAGAGGCCTTACAGTGACACAGCTATACCGCTGAAGCTGCAACACTGTATGGTCTCCCGTGTCGCTCTCCCGTCGGCATTAAGAAAACCTCCATTAAAAAGCGATGGTAGCTATGCCAGAAGGAGAACTTCTGTCACTGACATAGCGCTGCCCACACCAGCACTTTTCTCACTGAAAGGTATGTGGGTCGGACGAGTGTTTTTCCTCACATCCAACAAAAGTTCTACCAGCACAAGTGCTAGCATAGCTATAGCCTAAGAAATGTCCTCTCTTTATCCAACTAATATCCAACATCAGTGCTCATTGCTTGAGCTAAAGGGCAAAAGTTACTATTACGTGTTAAGCCCTTATGACCCACTGAAATACAGGAACATAAAGAGGGAGCCATGTGTATTTAGTATCTCCATACAAGTATCATTTGTTTTAATTATAGGTTGAACCTCTGGTAACTAGGGGTATGTCTACACTACAAAGTTAATTCGAACTAACAGACATGCAAACCGCTAGTTCAAACTTAATTCGAACTAGCGGAGAGCTTAATTCGAACTAGGTGAACCTCATTTTACGAGGACTAACGCCTAGTTCCAATTAGCTAGTTCGAATTAAGGGCTGTGTAGCCACTTAATTCGAACTAGTGGGAGGCTAGCCCTCCCCAGCTTTCCCTGGTGGCCACTCTGGGCACCACCAGGGAAACTCGTCTGCCCCCCTCCCGGCCTCGGATCACTTAAAGGGGCATGGGCTGGCTACGGTGCCCGTGCCAGGAGCAAGCCTGCCAGCACCCACCCAGCAGCCCCCT